CTGTCTATAGCCGGGTACCCATTCCCACCTGGGTGAAGTGAGGAAAATTCGTGTAAAGTGCCTTTCCCAAGGACACAACGTCGGGCCCCTGACGGGATTCGAACCCACGACCTTACGGTTGCGAGTCCGAGAGCCTAAAAATAAAAAAGTTTAAATTGAAAACCAGAGTACAATGATAAGCATACTGGCCAGAATAAGCAACACAGAAAATATGTGTGCAATCACCGTGAAATTATGCTCTCTTCAAAATAATCAAATCTAAGAAACAAAAATTTCCGTTCGAGGCAATTGTAATTGAATGGTTAGTTTTATTGTTGTTGTTGTTTGGGGGTTTTTTTGGGTTTTTAATTATTTTTTTTGGGGGTGGGGGGCTCCACTCCTATTATGTCTGGTTAAAAAAACTTTTCAGTGTGAATTTTACTGAAAAATTATCAAAGGCACAAAAATGCAAATATGCAGTTGCCAAGGACGATCAAGGTTTGAAAGTCACCAAACTTTGGTGGCCATTTTCTGGCTAATTTTACCTCTAATGCTAGGCAACCCTGGCCTCTTTCAATCACAAATACATTAATATATCTCTACTTTTATGAAAGATACATCGGTATTTTTTTTACATCAATAGCAAGATATAAGTAAGTGAACAAGCTTGAAGATCAAACCAATAACCCCATGTGCCTTGAAAACAATGACGAGCGCCTGATTCCATTGCATTGAGTGGAATCAGGCTCTCGTCAGTTTTGGGGCATATGGAGTTATTGGTATCATCTTAAAGATTGTTCATTTGGTTCCGAAAAAAAATTGTTCATTTGCCTTGCTTTTGATGAAAACAATATCTATTTATCTCGGATACAAGTCAAGATATTTGTCGATTGAAGGAGGTGAAGGTCGCCTGATTTCAGAGGTAAAATTAGCGAGAAAATGACAGGCAAAGTTGAGTTCTTTCCTAAACTTGAGAGCCCATGGAAACTTAAAATGTACATCCCTTATGCCTTAAATCAACGTATTTCAGTACAATCCACACACAGAAAAGGGTTCTTTAACGGGTATGAAAGGCGTTGAGCCAAAATACAAAAATTCTCTCAAATTCCCCAAACCTGCGGAAAAATGTCTGTTTCTTCATTTGGACTATTTTGACGAGCGCCTGATTCCCCCAGGCTGCCTCACACACACTCACGTGATCACACAGAACAGGTTAATGTTGGCGTTGTACACTGTAAAGGAAACAAACACGGCTCTCCCCCCGCGCTGAATCCACAAGTTGGAGTACAAGTTCTGAATCATTTTCTCTGATTCCTCCCGCTTCAAGCTGAGGTCCTGGATGTAGCCTGCCCCGCTGTACATGTGCAGCTTGCCCCAGTAGATGAAGCCTTCCAGCTCCTCGTTACTGTGGTACTTGAAGCTGGGGATACAAGGTTTTGATGTAAGTTATTTGGTCCCTTTTAAGCACAAGGGGGATATCCCCAAAAATGCTGTTTTGAGAAAATCGAAGGTAAAGTATATGCCCTTTGTTCAGTTTGTTTAAAAAGACAAGGAGAGAGTTACTTGGAATTACTTGGATCCAAAGGTAGAATTACAGCAGGCGGCACATGTCCATAGGACAAGGCGAGTTTTATCTACAACCAAACAAATATACACACAAATGAAACCAAACATCTCCCATAGGTATGGCAATGCCCACTTTTGGTGTAGGTCAAGACTTCTGGAAACCCCAGTAATCTGGGTTAGCCCGATTGTCCTTACAAGTGACCGTTTGTCAGCCAGCTGTTCACAAGTAAAAAGTATAGTTGTTCCCGCATCCGATCCGGACATTAGGGATTGCCTTGTTAGTGAGACAACTTCCTGGGCCTTCGGCATATTGTGGTAGGGTGGCCAGTTCCTTTCATGCCGCCTTCACTTCCCCAACTCGAAGTCAGGTACCCATTACTGCTGGGTGGGTAGGAGGGGGTGAACAAAATCTGTGTGCGAACCGAGGCTCGAACCCGGACTTTCCGCTTTGCTCCAACTATATTTGGTCAAAGTTCAAATTCTACATGTTGAAAAAAGCCGTAAAAAAATACGACGTTGGCACAACTTGTTTTTAGCAAAATGAATTTTTTTTCTTCTCCTGAAAACGGTTGCTCTCTGTGCTTCGAACATGTGAACAGCTTGCTAACGTTGTGTCGACTTCAACCGTTTGTTTTAGTAAGAGTTTTACGGCACTTGCAACACAATAAAGTTATATAAGTGCCGAAGACTAGAGGTGTTACAAGAGAGTAACAAACACAAAAAAGAAGGAGGAGAAATCCGGACGATAGATATTCGATAGGAAAGAAGGAGCAGACCACACCAGAGCACCCGCCAACCACCCACTTTCAACAGTTTACACCAACAGATCCTATAAACATTCTGCATCTTGTGTCAAAGGCAGGAAGACGTATCTGCACTACAAATAGGAGATTTCACTACGACAAACAGACGTATCTGCACTACAAATAGGAGATTTCACTACGACAAACAGACGTATCTGCACCACAAATAGGAGATTTCACTACGACAAACAGACGTATCTG